GTGATGCTTTTAGGCTTAACTACTCTTTAGACTCCACAGAGCCTCCAGGAGGCGTCCGTTCATGTACAAATAGATAAAGATAAACAGTATATCTCTATAAATATATATGTAAATATGCATCGGACTGCTCTCATCCAGCGTTCAGGGATAAACATAAGAATTATGATGCGAAATGACGAGGTGGGCGTGTCCCACACAAGACGGTGTGGGACACGCCGTACCCTGACAGTGATCTTTATTTTAGTAATACTACTAACGGGCCGAGGACCAACCCCCCCGGAGGAGGACAGGTAATGGGGGTAGATACCTACCGAGCCGCTTGAGGAAACGTGAATAATTAAAGTCGTCACAACAGAAGGCCTCCGCCGGAAGTGTTTGTGTTCCCGACTGCCGCCAGCCCCGAGGTGGCCATTGGCGGGCACAGTAGCAGCGGCATCATTTCTGTTAAACGGCGTCGTTAGAGCGAAGCCGGTTCCACTTTGGGGGCCAACAGAAGGCCCTTCGGGGGCCCCGCTCGCACAGGAGGGTAATCGATGCACAAATGCAAACAAACAGCTTCCTCTGCAGCCCTACGGTGGCCCTGAAGTGCAAAACACAACGATCAGGGAAAGGGGAGGGGCCTTATAGCAGGAAGCACCCTTCTGATTGGACAGACGGACTGTCTGTCTTTTCACCCTCTTAATCCGAAGCCTTTCGCCGGCGACGGAGAGTGACATGGAGGATTGAAATTACCGTGACTCCGTCACTATTTCCGCAATTGGATTGTGAAAGCTGAGAGATGCCGCTTTCTAGATGTTCTGTCAATCAATAAATGAGTGGCGGGAGTCTCTGATGAGGGGGGGGGGAGACGCAGCAGGAAGTCACGGAGACATGGCGATGTTTTACGAGTGTCTTAAAAGTGTCCTACCAGTGTTTCACCATCGTTTTACCGCTGTTTTGTTCTTCAATTATATTTAGGTGTTGTAAATGAAAAGGGGGGGGGGGGGGGACGCCGCGGACGCTACTGCCGACACGGCCCGGGGACCGAAATGTGTGACACTTGAGAGCCCTGCATCATTTCCTGTTAAAAGACAGACATTCCGTCTGTCCAATCAGAAGGGTCCGTCCTCCTCTGCTATAAGGCCCTCCCCTTTCCGTAAGAAGTTAATGTCGTTGTGTTTTGCACTTCAGGGCCACCGTAGCAGCCCCCCCCCCCCCCCTCCCCCTCCACACAAACACACACACATTCATCAAACTTATGCTAATTCAAAACGATAAATAACAAGCCAACAAGTCGCCGCGGCCCGGAGCAGAAAGTAATGACTCGGCCTCCAGAAATAACTTATTTATGCACAAGTAATTATTTATGCACAAAGAAAGAATTTAAAAACAACGTCTGCAATCAGTATTTTAGACTCGTAATGTTTTCTGAAACTGTTACTGTCACCGCTCATGAACTCACTGAGAAGATCTGAAACCTTTGGTGAGAATTATTGGGGCAGAGACACGCTTGTCACACGCTTCACCGTCATTGGCTGGTCTGCCTTCAGGGGGCGGGACTTAGCAACACGTCGATTAAAGTGTCCACAGGATGTTTAAGGATTGTGGTTGAGTCGGAAATATCCTTGGAACACGTCACATAGATCACATGTTAGTAATATGAATCTTCTCGGGCGGCTCTCTAACCCTTCAGCTCTCCACGCTGCTTCACACTTGATGATTCTCTGCACAGGTTTCCATGGTTACGCGTCTCCGCACAAGCAGGGACACAAACTACGTTTGATTCATGAGAAACTACGTTGAACAACAGCAAGTATTTTGGGAGTAATTTCCTGGTACTGGTGCATCAGGTATCAGTATGTGCTGCTTTAACATAGAAAATACCTCGAACCTTTGTGGAGATTCAAAGGCTCACAGAGCAACATGTTGGGCAAGGATATCATCCCAAATATGAATAAAGATGATATAGATGAGATTAAGTCTGAGACACAGTGAGGAGAAAGCTTCAAGTGAGTTTTTTGGGAAGCTGGCATTCTGATGGATCAACGTGTATGCTAAGCTATGCTAATCAGGAGGAGTCTCCGTCAGAACCCGGGGGTTAAACCGATGAAGTGACTCACGCGATCCCGTCAACCAGTTTGTTTCTCCGGCATCGTAGATTCTTAATCTCGGTGTAGCGACTTCACATAATTACGGCGAGCAGTTGACCATAAAGTTCCACCCACCTTGTTATTCGGTGACATTTGAGTTATCGGAGGCGCTCCCGGACTGTTCGTTTGAAAAGCCAGCCGCTGTGCAGAGCGTGCGTGGTACCTGTGGTTGTGTGGTTAACTCGCATTTCTAC